GTTCCAGCTGTGTTTGAATTAATTGGTTTTTCCGTTACTAATATTATAGAGATTCTAATTAAAAATAATCTATTGGAACAATCATCAGATTGGATATATTCATCATTAGCACTCTATGGTCTAGAAATTATAAAACTATTATTTTATCATGCTCCTAAATATCTTGAATCACAAAAAGACAAATATTCAACTCTTCAATCCCGATTTAAGGATGAAATTTCAAAATATCTTTGTTCTACCAACAATGAAATTTCTATATTGTCTTTTAAACTTTTAAAAAAGAATACATACAATGTAAAAGAAAATGTAAAACAACATTTTCTTTTGTAAATGGAAATATTAAATAAAGTACTTTATTTAATATTGTTTAGATTTTGATAAAAAATTTGAAATTTTTGGTTTAATTTGATTTACATTGAGGAATGTTATTTTCCCAAACCATATGTTGACCATTTGGACACTTATCACAGTTTGGATAAGTTAAGTAACTTATTTTACAATTACATTGGTTGTATAAGTAACAATAAGAATATGATTGGAAATTGAAGCTTGGTACAATGTTATTGCATTGGTAGTCTTGTATACAGTATCCATATGGTCTACATGTTGGTATTCCGTTATCCCAAATGATTTGGTTACCTGGTGGACAAGTATCACAATTATTACCTGTAAAACCATATCTACAAGTACAGTTACCTTGTTTTGGCGATACATAATCATTTGGTTCATAGAGTACAGTAACTTGATTATTTTGTAGATTTACCTTTTTTATATAGGAATTAGAGGTTGAATAATATACAAAACCATCTTTGTAGACTGCAGATTCAATTGATGGATCATTGACTATTAATTGTCTTGTAATTTTACCATTGTTTATACCATTAGGTATAGCCATTTTATAGAGTGAAGTTTTGGTAGAATATATGATATCAGTATTGGAACCTGTGAATGCATAGATTTCTTCATTTTCACCAATGATTGAAGGCATATTTGGTTTACCAGTTAAATGAATATTACCAATATGGAAATTGATAGAGAAATTACCAGCATTTTTATCTCTGCTTGTCCAATATAGATTATCACCATTTTTCCATAACCCCTCACAATATACATAGTAATTAGTTTGAAAAGATAATAGTAGTTGAAGAGTTTCACTAATAGTGTACCCAACCAATTGATCTAATTTACAATGGTAAATCTTATTATTGGGTACATCAAAATACATTTTTTGATATGTACCGGCTTCCATGAGTGGTGTATAGCTATGAACATCAACACCATTACCATTAAATGGAGCAGAATAGAAACCCAAGTATGGAATATTCTTGAATCTATTTTTAATACCAACAAAGAATTTGTCATTGAATTCATAACCCATGATACCACCAAATCTCTCTGATAGAATAGTAAATATCTCTTCTTCAAATTTAAATTCTTCACGATACTTATCATTTTGGTTAGGTTGAAAAGGTACAGAAAACAAATAGGCAGGAGCAGTATCATCAGAATCACCAGTATATCTACCAGTAAAATACACTCTTTGGCCATGTACAGCTATATCCTTGGAATGTACTGAAATCTTATTTCTACAATAACTATTTGGTAAACTTGGGCATTGCCAATCATAAAAACAATTTCCACCAAAACTCTTGGATATTATTGAAATTATAAATACTAATAATATATATTTAATCATTTTTAAATATAAAATTGAACTGATTTAAAATAAATTTGATTTATTTATATTTAAAATTGGGTGTTAATCAATGAAATAGATAATACACTAAAATTATACACCCCCTAAGAAATACCCCACCTTACTTGTATTTATTAATAAATTATTGGAATATAAATTCTTTTAAACTGTTTTTATCTAACAATTTAACTATAAGAAGATAACACACACTAAAATGATATATAAATAGATATAAAAAATTAAATAGAAATTTATTAAAAAATTGAATTAATTTGGTACACATTGAGGAGAGTTATTTTCCCAAGCAATATGTTGACCATTTGGACATTTATCACAATTTGGATAGGTTAAATAACTGATTTTACATATACATTGATTGTACATATAACATGTTGCAAATGGTTGGAAATTGAAACTTGGTACAACGTTATTACATTGGTACTCTTGTATACAGTATCCATATGGTCTGCAAGATGGTGAACCATTGTTGTCCCAAATGATTTGGTTACCTGGTGGACAAACATCACAATTGTCACCTGAGAAACCATATCTACAAGTACAGTTACCTGGTTTTGGAGATGAATAGTCATTTGGTTCATAGAGTACAGTAACTTGATTATTTTGTAAATTTACTTTTTTAATGTAGGAATTTGAGGTTGTGTAATATACAAAACCATCTTTGTAGACTGCAGACTCAATCCAAGGATCATTGGTAATGAGTTGTCTGGAAATTGGAATATTTTGACCATTTGGAATAGCCATTTTATAGAGTGCATCTTTAGTTGAATAAATGATATCAGTATTTGATCCAGTGAATGCATAGACTTCCTCATTTTCACCAATGGTTGTTGGAACATTTGGTTGATTGTTTGGAACATTTTTATTACCAATATGGAAATTGATTGAGAAGTTACCAGCAGCTGGGTCCCTACTTGTCCAATAGAGGTTATCACCATTTAACCATACACCCTCACAATAGACCTTATATAGAGTTCTACCGGAAACTAATTTTTGAATATCAGGATTGATACTATACCATTGCAAATTACCCAATTGACAACGATAGATTTGGTTACCAGCACTGTCAAAATACATTTTTTGGTAGGATCCACCTTCAAAAAGTGCAGTAAAAACATGAGAGGATACACCATTGTTATTAAAAGGACCAAGATAGAATCCCAAGTATGGTTGATTTTTAAATCTATTTAAAATGGTCATAAAGAAATTATTGTTCATTTCATAACCCATTATACCACCATATCTTGCATAAGACAATGAGAAATCTTCACCTTGGAATTGAAATTCTTGACGATATTTGTCATTAAGATTTGGTTGAAAAGGTACAGAAAGCAAATTTGCATGTGCAGTTGCTGGATCATCATTAGAATATCTACCAACGAAATATACTCTCTGGTCATGTACCGCAATATCATTGGATTGTACAATTAACTTATTTCTGCAATAACTATTTGGTAAATTTGGACATTGCCAATCAAATGAACATTGCCCAGCAAAACTTTTTAATATATTTAAACTTATTAATAATATTATAAATTTATAATTCATTTATATCAATATTAATTAAAATTTGATTTGATCAATATTTATAGTATTTTTTTTTTCAGGTTAAATATAGATTGAAAAAGTAAATTCAAAAGTTACAGTTATGTGGAAGGGAAGGGGAGTATTTTCCAAAAAATTCTCTATTACTATCAGATATTACCCCCTTAATATATACAACAGTTTTTTAATTGGAATAAAACTGTTATTTCCCAAAAAAGAGGGGGAGAGCAATTGTGTGTTAAAATATAAAATTTTAATTCTATACCTAGTTTGCCTGTCATTCTATGAACATTTTAATTGCATTACTCAAATGTCATTAAAATATGTTTAGATTATAGATTTTTGTGTGAGTAAGGCGTTAAATTCTTTAAACTGTTTCTTTCTATCATTTATCAAAAACATATAACAAATGTTTTTAATTGATAACAAAAGGAATAAATAGATAAATGTAGATATATATATAATATTGATTTTGATTATTTTTTATTTTTAATTTTAAGTTTTTTTTTTTGACACTTTGTGCTGGGTTTTACAGACTTGCTGTCTTTTATTCTGAAAACTAAATAAATAAAAAAAAGATTTACAAAACTAATTTTTTTTAAAGTTTATTAGTTTTTTTATTTTTTTTTAATTATTTCCTCTTTGATTTATTGTGTGTTTGTAAATAAAACGTAAGTTATCGATCCTATATATACACACCAAACTATGAAACTGTAAAATATCTGTGAAAAAAAAAAAAGTTCAAATTGGTGTGTGTTAAAATTTGTGGCTTTTATTAAATTAAAAGAAATTCACTAACAGTTAACAAAATTATTTAAAAAAGATTTTTTTTTTTTTTTCTTTCATGTATTATCAACCAAGACCAGCATTTTATCAAACTACCACAGTTGTACCTACAATGTCATTTGCATTTGCACCACCAGCTACCTTCCAATCCCTATGGTATTATTCATTTTATACTCAAATTCAACAACAGCAACTCTATGAATATCAAGCATGGTTCGCCTCTATTGATCGTGATAGAAGTGGTCGTATCTCCGCAATGGAACTTCAATTCTTAGTCATTGGAGGTACTCCATTAGGTTTAGATACCGCAACTAAACTTATTAAAGTTTTTGGTTCAAATATAAATGGTCAAGTTGGTATGTATATACTTTCATCTATATATATATATCTAAAACTATATTTACACTTCTTATCCTAACTTCTTTTATTTTTTTTACATTTATAGACTTTTATGAATATGCAGCTTTACATCAATTTGTTAATGTACTTTATAGTAGATTTGTAATGAATGATAGAAATTTAACAGGTACTATTGATTGTAATGAAATTCATATGGCATTGGCAACTGCAGGTATTCAATTACCATATAATACTGTAAACTTGTTTTTCCTTAAACTCAGTCCATCAGGTTATGGTTTAATGTTTTCTCAATTTATTAATCTATGTGCTCAAGTTGCTCTAGCAAGATCAATGTTTGAATGGAATGATCCAATGAGAACTGGTATGGTTCATTTAGGTTTGGCCCAATTCTATGACATTATTGCTTTAGTGTAATTCTTTTATAAACTTTTAGAACTTATCTTTTGTACAAAAATAAAAAATTTAAAAGTACTCCTTTGGAGTTCTAATTTTATATCTAATTCCAACCCATATTCTAGAATTTGTTTTAAAAAAAAAATTTTTTTGTTAAAAAATTGGGAGAAAAAAGTTGGCCATATGGTTTTCAACCATAAAAAATCTGTTCGTATAGTGGTTAGTATAAGAGATTCTGACTCTCTTGACCGGAGTTCGAATCTCCGACAGATTACAATTTTTTTTTTTTTTGAGACCCTCGGTTAAAAAAAAGTATCCTAACCCGTTTTTATTGCAATCTATCATAAACGATAACAGTATTAAAGGTATCAGACTTAAAGGGCTAGAAACTCCAATGAAAGTGGGCGCATTTGCAGACGACCTTGCTTCAGTAAATTCATCTGTCGAAGACCTAAACCGAGTCAGAGAAAAGATCAAAAGCTACTGCAAAGGCACATCTTCATCACTTAACGATGACAAAACAGTTATGATTGCCACAGGAACTAATATACCAACTAACCTGCCTTACAAACTTAGTGAGGCCCCAGAAAGGTATCTAGGACTCAACTTCACTGGCAAAGGTCTGGACAGCAAAATCAACCAGATAATTAAAGAAATGAAAGAACAGTTGAGCAACTGGAAAAAAGAAGGATACACATTGAGATCCAAAATGGCAATCCTAAAAACATACACACTCTCCAAATTAACGTATCACTGTTACATAGACTGTCTTAATGATGCACAAATAAGCCAAATCATGAATGTCTCCAAATGGTTCATATTCTCTTCAATAAAGAATACATTCAATGAAGATGAAAACTACAGAACAATGATGACAATGGACAGGGCGTATGCAGAATGGGAGCAAGGAGGTATAAAACTATGGGATCTAAAGCTAAGACAAGAAGCCTTCAAGATATGGAATCTAAACAGGCTGCTTTGTCTACACCATGATAATAATGTTAGCGAGTTCCAAGAATGGTACATTAAACAAATCAAAAACAAAAAGATTGTCTCCGACATTCTCAGACCACAAGTGGATGCATGGGAAAACTATAGACAAGACCACGCCAGATCGACTCCCGAACTAAGAAAGCTAAAAGATGAAATAGGTGATATCAAAATAGTAAATGGGATTAGAAATGACCACAATCAACCCATCAAGTTAAGAGATATATATAAGAACCTGACCATCAAGAAATACAACTCTAGAGTTAGAAGGACTGATGGCCAATCCAATCTCCAACTAGACCTTAATCTACAAGGTATATTCCCTAGAATAGCTAGAATTGTTCATCACAAAGGTAGAAACACCTTCTTTAGATTCTTTGCAAGATGTCTACCTGGCATCAATCACCAAAGAAAGAGATGCCCTCTAAATGAATGTAGTTTAACATTCTCTGACCCATACATCCACTTTTTTTTCAACTGTAAGCTATCAACTAAACACTGTAACGAAATCGTTCCCATTGTCAACCAACTCTCTATCAAGAAAATCCACTCTTGGAGTCTAAATGCCATAGATCTAAATCAAATCAGCCACCATGAGAAAACATTCCCAACCCTGATGGCTATAATAATGAACCAAATGTGGAATATAATCTGTTACAACCTCTTTGAAACTGACAAATCCAATAAACCACCACCTGTAATGAACACAGCTATAATAAGAAAAGAACTATCCGAAACAATCAACATCGCCAAATGGAAACTGCTAAAATACCTAGACTACCAATCTAGGATTAACAACTCCAATGACGATGTTAAACTTAAATTTGAATTCAATAGAAACTGGCAAACAGTTTACAATCCTCTACCAATTCCACACAATTAAAAATAATATAATAATATAAAAAAAAAAAAAAAAAAAAAAAAAAAAAAAAAAAAAAAAATAATAATAATAATAATATTAAAATTCCAATTTGAACAACTGAAAATAAAGAAGAACTTACAAACAAGAACTAAAACAAGAAGACCCCATAAGAAGAAAACAAAAACAAGAAGAAGAACACCCACATATCACAACATAAATGCATCAATCACAACTCACAATCAAAACTCACATCACAAAAACAAAACAATCAAAACCAAGATAAATACCATTTAACACCAACCACAACACAATTCTAACAGATAATACCTCTCAATAAATAAACGTAATTAAGACTTTACCGAAGTACTGGCGCATTGCTAGTTACACAGGTCCAAAAAAAAGTATCCTAACCCGTTTTTGGTACCATTCCTGATTTCCTAACCTAATTGCACAAAATATTAAGCTGTTAGGTATTAATATTAATAAATAAAAATATTTTTTTTTTTTTTTTAAAAAATCACTAAATTTAAATGTTATATAAATGGGTTTAAATCTGTCAAAATATAACACTTTGAATATTGAAGTTGATTTTGCATTAGATGATCAACAGGAATACTTTAAAGGTCAAATTCCTAATATATTGTTGATAAAGATATTCAATTTGATATTAAATGAATTGTATCACCAGAGTTTTTCTGTGTTTCAAAAAAGAATAGACAGTTTTCTTTGTAAGACTGTCTTGTTGGATAAAAATATAAAAGAAAATGTAATGATAAAGATGAAGACAAATAATAATTTTGAAATACCAAAATATAAACCAGAATATAGAATTAAATGGTTCTTTAGAGTCCACAAGTACATTGAATTTCAAAACTTTACTATATATTATAAAATAGTTAGTTTTGATCATCCTTTAGTGTGTAAATTCAGAGATTATTTACAATCATCAAAGAAGACTATAATACTAGAATCTATAAAAGTAAAAGAACATCCTAAAGATAAGTTATTGTCTCTATTTAAAGATTTTAAAATAGAACTTAATACTCTATCTTTAATCAATAATGGTAATGAATTTGAATGTGTACATAAAGACATTGATTTTAAACTAAATATAAAAAACCTCTCAGTTAGTAGTAAATATCAATGGTATTGGGAATACTTTATCCCAGAATCGTTAAAGAAATTGAAAATCAATGATTACAGTAACCTTAATGATCCTCGTTTTGTTATTGGCCTTGACTCATTTAGATCACTAACAAATTTAACAATATCAGTAAACACATTTGGGTTACCTATGGAATTGTGTAATGTAATTAATCTAAATGTTAGTCTAGAATCATTTAAATATACAGTATATTCAATAGGTCTATTAGATTTTACAGAGTTTCTAACAAGTATACAAGACCATCCATCTCTAAAATCATTGAGTTTGTCACTCAATGGATGTACATTTAAATCATTTACACCATTTGCTATATATCTCAACAATAACAAGATTCTAGAAACTCTAATCATGACTCATCGTAATATCAATCCAATGGATGAAATGGATAAAGATTTACCAATTCTTAATAGCACATTAAGATATCTGGAAATCAACTGTGAGGTACTGGATATTGTAAATAGATGGCAATCAGTAAACACAAGTCTCACAGAACTTAATTGTATTCAAACTGATTATGATCCAAAGATTTTATGGAATCATGTACCAAATCAATTTCCAAATCTAACTACATTATCATTATTTAATTTAAAGATTAAAGATGATTTGATTCAATCCTTTATTAATAGTGAATTACAGAGTTTTAAAAAACTTAAGTATCTATACATCCAATGTGCATCCATAGAAACTAGTAAAATTCTATTTAATCGTATATTATCTATCAATTTGGTAGAATTGGCAGTTAATGATCAATTTCTTTCTAGTAGATCAGTAGTGGTTTTATTTGAAAGTAATCATCCAACTATAAAGAAAGTTAATCTATCACATGTTGAATGGTCAGATAATCTATCAAATTCCATTGTAAATAATCAAACTATTGAAAATCTAAATATTGTACCCACTAAACCATCACCTATAAACCAATTCAATTTCCTATCTAATCTATTGAGAAACAATAAGACTATCCATCATTTAGATATTCCATTTGATTTTCCAAAAAATGAAACATCTCAATTCCCTCTCTTTTTAAGAAATTTACAAAGAAACCAAACTCTTTTCTCTTTTTTTGTTTACTCACAAAATAGTGTTCCAGAGAAATTCCAATCTCAATTTACATCTATATTAAATCAAAAACTTTTTCATAAATAATATTTTTACAAATCATTACCAAGGTGATTATTTGATAAAGTCCATTACAAATTACATTTAGAATTTTAAATATTCAAAAATATTTTTTAAATAATGTAAATAAATCTGGTAACTTGTTAAACACTTTCCATTTCTATTTAACTAATTAAAAATTCCATTTTTACCCAATATTTTATTTCAATTCTTTTATTGTTTTCTTTTACAGAGTCATAGTTAATGATATATAAACACAGGAAAAAACCACCAGTTGTGGATGTTTCTAATTAGTATATTCCTCACATTTTAAAACTTCAACTTTTACAGATTTCAGGTGAAGTGATTAAATTTTGATTGTAAATTTGAACATTCAAATTTTGAATATAATCTATCTACTTTTTAGATTAAAAATATATAACTAGTTAATATAAAACATTAAAAGAATAAGATGTTTATCACTCTTCTTTGGATTTAACTAGTGTTTAAATAATAATAAGGTGAACAAAAAATGTTTTATTCTTTTACAGGAAAAGTTATTTGATATTTATTATTTTTAACAAGATCCAGCAACATAATCTTCAGTTGACCAATGAGTGAAATCTCTGAAACATTCAGCACTGGCATAATCGGTGAAACAAGAACCTGGACCATTATCACAAAATATTTCATAAGACTCGTCATTGTAACAATACCAAGTTGAGAATTGATCACCATTTTTAATTTCAGTGTCATTAGTGGCGAACCAATAGAATTGAGGGTTATTTGAACAGTCAGAGTCACCAGGAGCATAGGTAGTTTGTCTGAATCCATATGGTTGAATGGTGGTTGGATTTACTTCATAACCAACTTTAACGTAATTGGTTGGAGTAGCAGCGGCATTCCAAACGTAATTTGGAGCATCATAGCAATCACCTACAGTGTAACTCTTGGAACTTTGAGAACCAGATGAACAAGAAGTATCTGAACCACCATAGGCATAAATAGTAGCATTACCATTACTATCAGTTAATTCAACTGTAAAAAAGTCACCGGCAATTGCAAAACATTGATTTACAATAAAACTATAACCAATACCAGCTTCTTCACCAGAACAGTCATAAGTTCCATATGGTGTCATAGTTACATAGGTAACTGA